CACACACACACACACACACACACACACACACTTATCCATCTTCGGTCACTTATGTTAACACACTTCAGATCAGAAGGTGTCAGATCTGATGTTTCTTCATGATGTTTAGGATCATTACCGGCGCACCAGAGCAGAAATCTCATTTTCAGTGAAAGTGTCTTGTCTCTTCTTGTTGGAGTCTCTCGTATGGTAGGGGACGACTATTTTAGTACTAATCACACGGCAGCCGGCATGTTCCCGTTCATTTGATTGTTTTTCTCACATCTGGCCTTATGTGGTTCAAATGAGACAAGTTGTTCCAACACCTCTTTTTTTATTCCTCTGCAGAAGCACAGCGTTAATCCACCATTTTTATAGCAGTGTAACATTTTCACTGTCAACATTTATCTTGCAGTAAAAAGCAATTATAAAACATCCCTATGTTTTCTTCCTGAGCACAGCAAGCTTCATCTTTCATTGATGAGCTGACTGCGGTGCCACCTACTGGTGCGCAGCTGGAGGTGCAGTCTGAGGCAGGCAGCTGCTGATTTCAGAGGGCAGCATGTTGAGGGGGTTACAGTTGTTGTAGGTGCTTTTGTGTATGTGGGAGCACAGTGATGCCAGGGCTCATGTTGAGCCTCATAGCCATTCCAGCAACACACACACACACACTCTCACACACACTTTTAAAAAATTGTCTTTGATACCTGTGTACTGTCTGTGAACCACGAAGGTCCAACTACACCTGACGATTACTGCTCAGCAGCAATAAACGAAATCAGCGCTTTCTGTTTGTTGAGACAGTGCATACTGTACCTGTGTATATGCCCCATAGTGACTTGTGATCTGGAGACTAATATAATCTGATATTTAATACGAGCCAAGGGAGTTGTTGTGTGTCAAGTTGGATTAAGACCGAGTAATAAGATGCTCCTCTGAAACTTCAATACCCACGAGGCTCAGTGCAATTAGACAGATAAAAAGTGCAATTACCCTTTTTCTTGTTATTCTATTCTGTAGTTATGTACTGGTGTTTAATGTCCAGGGAGTCCTCTGGGTATGAAAAGGTTAATTTCTTCATTTTGTGTTGTATTTATTTTTAAAAGAAAACAGAGTACAATTTGTTCATTTAAAAAAAAACAAAAAAAAAACATCATTAGTAATTTTATGCAACTTACACTTAATTTTTTCCCAGGCATAAATACCAGAAAATCACATCCACTCTTTGTTTAGTCATTTTGATATGAGGGTTGTACAAAGCTTAACTTGTGTATCTGCTCTAACTTTTTTTGCTTTTTAAGATTGCTTGTTGAATTTAGTTTTAAACATGCAGAATAGAGAAACGTTTAACCACAGCTTCACATTTGAATTTTCCACAAGCAAACCCAACATTGCATATTTCAACAAGAGGGTTAATGGTTTGACTGTATATTGTGCTTTTTTATTTTCCACTCATAGGAGCTGGCTCCTTTCATGAAGTCTGAGACTGAAGTTTTGGTCCTGATGAAGATTGAAGCCACTAAAGGGCCCTTGAACAAGCGTTTCTCTCTCAGAGCAGCTTTTTCTTTCAAAATGTGTCTATTACCATGAAATTATTGTTTTTTTTCATTTTTACGGTCCCACTGAGCAGTAAGTTGACTGAGAAGAAAAGGTACTTCTAGATTTTTCAGTTTTTCTTCATCCTATCTAGATTCTCTTATGTCTGGGAATAGTGTAACTTGCATAAAGCTACATTTGTTTACTACTGACTGGACTTGAACATATATGACTGTTCCCCTGTCTTATAATATCATTCCACGATTTTGTCTGTGAATTTACTTTGGAATAGTAACCGTAAAGAATTTGGTAAAAGTACCTATGTTTTTAAAAGAAATATTGATGTGTTTTCAGTTGAATTTCCCATGTTTGAACAAAGTATGTAGAGTTAAAAAGAACAACCAAATAAAAATTAAATTACTTTTAAAGCTCCGTGTCATTGTTATTGTACAGATATGTGTTCTGGATTTTAAAGTAATGGTAACAAGATTTGTGACTTTGTTACAAACTGTTAATTTTGCCTCAATGTTGTCAGTAGCACAATTGAGTTTTTTATAATGTGTCTTTACTGACGACAGCGAGTGGCCGGAGGCTTCATGTTATCTCGTTGTCTGTACGTTCTTCCTATCCTTGTGAACATGATATCTTGAGAACACCTTGAGAGAATGTCTTCAAATTTCTTGGAAACATTCACTTGGACTCATAGATTAATTCATTTGATTTTGGTGTTCGGAGGCCAAGATTCAAGGTCACCTTGCAAACCCTTTTTTACCTTGTGAATGCATTATCCTCAGAACACCTTGATAGAATCCTTTACATTTTGCGACAAACGTTGACTTACACTCATGAAGTAACTGATAAGATTTGGGTGGTCAAAGGTTAAAGGTCAAGATCACAGGGGCCTCACAACATGGTGTATCAAGCCTGTCTGTGCAGCATTTCTTCAACATTTGACCAGTCGTCACTTGGAATCAAAGATGAACTGATTAGATTTCAGAGGTCAAAGGTCAAGATGATCTCTTTAGACTGGAAAAAAGTAAGGAAACTTCATTGGTTGGTGGAGTGATGCAACAATAGTGCAGTAATTCACGTTTTCTCTGTTTATATTTAATCCAAATATACATTGATTTTAATTGTTAACTTGAAGTAACATTTCAACCAATTTTCACCCTTATAAATGACAGAAAACTATTTAGAAGTAAAGGAGGGGTTTGAAAACAGGGATTTAGCTAATCTTATATGCATTTACATATACAGTATTATTAAGACATACACTCTGGTGACAAAAGCATATTTGTACAGTGCAGTAAAATCAGCAGAACCTCTATGTGCTATTTGTAAAAATATTACACAGAGACGTGATGATTCCTCTGGATGAAATGAGTTTTGTCCTCAAACAGCGACACTGTTGGGGATTTTGTCAGGGGACATGTTGTAGTACGGCAGCTTCTTTCCCTCGTTCCTCCTCTTGATGGAGCTGGTTATCTCTGCCAGCTTCTTCCTGAACTTCTCCATTGCCTTCTTGACCGGCTTCTCTATAAAGTGCTCGTCGGGATACATACCCAGGTAAAGCTGCAGAGAGCGAGAGAGGAGATGGGTCATTCAGCCCAGAGACACAGAGCAAGGACACAAGTACATGTCGAAGCAGAGGGAAGCTTCAAAGTTATGATCGGTTTGTTTGGTCCTCAAAGTAACACAATCTGTAATGAGACCTGTGTGTGTTTGGACCTGTTCCCCCTTTCATACCTCGCTCTCCTGGTACTGGCTGAGTGCCCAAACCGCGCCCAGGTGCCAGCTGGAGCGTCCGCGATCAGGGAGGCTATCGATGATCAGGTTCACATCTGCCACGCCCTTCTGGTTGGGTGGAGGCTTCCTCATGGTAGAAGGAGCGTTGGGGATCCAGGAACACCAGTCAAACTACAAGATACACACAATAACACCATATGTGCATGCACTAGACTTACAATTCTGAGGAGCATGTACTTTTCAATCCAAGCAATAAACAAATGGAGAGGGGAAACATAACATCCTTGGCAGAGGTAATAACAAAACAGTCACAGAATATTTCAAATACATTTTGCATTGACGTGTAGTATAGTGTAGATTGTCACAGTTATTTTTTACTTAAGTCAAAGATGAGTCCTCCCTCCATCACTGTGTGTAGAAGAGCATAACACATGTCTATAAGAGTTCATCCACAACTGTTAAAGTGAGGTGTATTTCTTTTAAATCAGTTTTATAGGATGAAGACATTGAATGACATATACAGTGTATTTATCTATAACTCACTTGTCCAAAGTTGACAGCTGCGTGCTGCGATGAGGCAGAGAACACAACCACAGTCAGGTACTCTGACAGCTCCTCACGTGTTTTCAGGGACTTGGGAAACTCTGCGCACAGACAGATATAACAGTGTGCTGAAGTCTTTAAAACAACAAACTGTGAGGACCCTTACACAACAGATTCAGATACGTGATGGGGAAATGCAGGAAGGATATTAGAACACGGGGCTAAGTCGGTGACACCAGACTCCTGTTTTCACCTTCAAACCACACGTCTGTGTCAGATCTGAATTTATAATCGTATCTGTCTTCTGCAGAGGAACCCTGAGCTAATGAAATATTGAAAGCTCGCGAGCTGCTTCTCTCCATGAAAGAGGAAACTCATTGGTTAGCTGTTGCAATTTGTTGTTCCAGAGTAAAGAAGAAAAATTGTACAAAAAGACAAGGGGTGTAACGTTCGCACCCACCACAGTGATCAAAGTCCTGCATCCCGAAGCTGCACACGTCTTTGATGAAGGCCTGGATCTCCACGTCTTTCTGCACTGTCTCGTCGCTTGTGTAATAAATATGCACCACATCAGACAGGAAGCTGCCAGAGGCGAGAGGGAACAGGACAGCAGTCACGTACAGAGGAAACATAAAATGCTCCAACTTCCATCACCTGAAATTCTTCTACTCTCAGGGTTACAGCTTTCATCGTTCCTGTTTTCCTCTGTGACTTATTCCCTCTCACTCAAACACACACCAGCTGTTCATCTCCACAAACCTCTTGGTGGCATCCCACACACAGTAGCCGTCATCCCTGTAGAAGTAGGTGGGCAGCTCCTCCTTGTTGTCCATGCCACGGGCTTTGATCATGTCGGGGAAGCACAGAGACCTGAAGGTCAGAGTCTTCGTGGCCTTCTGAATCAGCTGCACATGACCACCTCCGCCTGTCGCGTTGGCCTGGATGAGGAAGGAGAAGAAGCAGCATCATCATGAATTGTTCCAGCAGCATGCAGTCTTCACCTCTTATTGGCATGTGGTTATGTGTGTAGTAAACAGAAAAAAGAAATACATGCATACAACTACCTCGTCTAGAACATACTTTCTTTGTGATGCTTAAAGGTTCAGTGTGTAAGATTTAGGTGAAAGGAATCTATTGACAGAAATTTAATAGAAAATATTCCTCATGATGTTTTCACAAGTGCGTTTCATTTAAATAGTATGAATTGTTGTTTTCTTTACCCTAGAATGATCCCTTTGTATTCAAATACTTTCTATTTACATCTGGAATGGGTCCAATCTACGAGCGGCCACCATGTTTTTTTACAGTGGCCCAAACTGGACAAACTAAACACCTTTTGAGTTTTTAATGTCAACTGAAAGCTACCACAGGGGAGGGTGAGGTGAGGAGTATTCAGCTGCAACATTCAACTTCACCACTAGATGTCACTAAATTGTACACACTGAACCTTTAATGTAATTTGTTTTAATCTTGTTTGTAAGCACAATGCAGGTTAGCAGATTTTTCTCAGCTCTTCTTTTCCTCTCTCATTTAATCTGAAAAATAATAGTAAATTCCTCTTCTTTTTTCTTCTCTCTCCACTACTCTCCTCTCCTCTCCATCCACAAACTCACCTTGTCAAAGATGCCATGCTCATTGATGAGCTGCTCTCTGGCCTTGGTGTTGATGGCGATAGTGAAACGAACATGCGGGATAAGAAGCTAGTAGGAAGGAACATCGGTCAGTGAGCTCATCGGTCGATCAGCCTAATCAATTTGCCAATGAATCAGCAGGGGTTTTACCTTATAAACAGGGTGAACAGCTGGGAGCTGCCTGAACATGGCAATTGCAAACACCTCTGTTATGAGATGTGTCCTGAGCAGGTGCGTGATATTTTGGTGGTACTGGAAATCAGCCGAGCGCACCCAGATCTTTGCCAGCAGCCAGTCATACTTTCCGTCGGTGGGCAGGAAGATTGGGGTGTCTTCACCTGGAGTCTGCCCAAGCTGGAAAAAACAGATTTATCCTGAATTGTAAATTTGGAAAATCGAACATTAACTCCATGACATAATACCTGCTCAGCATCACTGTACCTGTATGGCTATTGGCAGGATCTTGTTCTGAGCGTTCTTGTAGAGGAGACAGATGGGAGCTGCCAGGTACTGCAGCGTGCACGGGTCTGTGCAGTTAGCAGTGATGCCCTCTAGCAGCTCAAAATCTGCTATGTAGACGTTACCTGCCTGGAGCCAGAGCATTGCTTTTAACATTGTACATCAGAGGGAGAGTTAAAGAGAGACACAGCAGTGACACATCAAATGCAGAAGAAACAGACATCAGCTTGTCTGAACCTTTATTTCCTCCTCCAGAGTCAGCTCCCTCTCCAGGCTGGTGGAAACCATCTCGTGAGTGACTGGAAACTTGTCGGGAAGTTTAGTGCATTTTTGGATCACTACCGGGTTGCAGCCGTTCAGAAACTGGTATCCAAACATAAAGTCCTCCTTCCAATGTTGCATCACATACTCTAAATAATATAATATCAATATTATATTGTATGAGATACCATACGACATGAAATGAAATGCCACAACACAATAATAATAATAATAATAATAATGATAGTAATATATGCGGCTGACCTGAGATTGTGTTTTTGATTCTTACAAAGATCTTCTCAAAGTCCTCAAAGTCGGTCCAGGAGGACTGAAACATGTGCATGAACTGGTTCACACACAGATTCTCTATCCTGGAAAACCAAAGTTAACACCATCAATATAATATCAGTCACTGAAGTATCATCGAAAAAGAAAATCTTGTGCAATTTTGTCTAATATGTCAGTTAAACACTGCAAAACAAGATGTGTACATGTATCTATGATCATGTATTCAGCAAGAAACAGCATTATACATAATTTGCCTTCTTTTGCACGAACTACTGCATCATCGAAACTGTTATGCTCAGTATCTGTTTTGCATTTTTGAGTGTGGGTTTGACATCTGCATGAAAGTCGGATGCAAATGCCCCTGGTGATAAACAAACAATTACGCTTCTGTCTCTCCAGGTAATCCACAGGTGCAGAAAATAGAAGCATGTTTTCAGCCTGAAGCTCAACATGTGATCAGGGCTTCATGAAGACTTTACACTGCACAGCTCCACTGACTCACTCCTCTCTGTCCTGAGGGGCCTCTGCTGCCTTCATGGCTCCTGTAAACCTGCTCCAGCTTTATTGAAGCAGGCTGTTAGAGGGAGCACTTACGCCTTAACGTAGTTCAGCACAAAGTCCACTCCTTTCTCACTGTCGAACTGGATGTCTCGAGGCAAATCCTGGTGTCTGTTGGCGTCTATGCTCATAGGAAAGCCTGGCTGCCACTCGTTCCATCTAGAGAAGACAGCAGAGTCATTACTGAGCCGTCTCAGCCTCCTGCAAGGTCCAAAGATAAACTGTGAAGAGTGAACTTGCCTGTAGGTTTTTTTTCTCAGGTCCAGCTCTTTTTGTCTGTGCTGTTTGACCAGGCTTGTCTTATCGTCCTGAGGCAGATGTGCTACAACACACACACAAGACACTGACTGATGAACACAAGGAGTCAGAGAAACCGTGAGGCAAACTAACAAATGAACTAAAGTCTACTGATGTTTCCTTGCTGGGTTTTGTTTCCATCTTATTGTCCATTTATTTTCTACAACAGTTTTTGTGTTCATTGTATGTCTCCAAAGCCAGGGGTGGATCCAGGAGCAGGGCCAGAGGGGTCACTGGCCCCTGCTAAAATATGATTGATGTGCTCCTGTCCTGTCAGTAGTCTGTTTTAAAGGGACCTACTGGCAATATTAACAATAAATGTGACAATTTATAAAGAATTTAATTTCTTTTTTAATTATATTTTTTGAAGCACAAAATGTGCAACAAAAATGTTTTGAACAATTTTCAAAATATACTCGATAAATTGTAGTTTGCTCACAGCTATAAAACAAGGAATGACTTAAATGTGCACCTATAATTGGCTACTCTGTGTAAAATGTGGCCCTTTAATGACCCCCGATTTGGAAAAATCTTATATTCGCCACTGTGTAAAACACTTTGAGCTACATTTCATTTGTGAAATCAAAAAAGTCTTCTTATTATTACCTTGTCCATCCCGCAGCACCACCTCTTTGTCGCCCACCAGCCAGCGGAAGCAGGGAAACTCTACATAGTCTCCAGAGGGGGTCTTGACCGTGATGTACCTGCAGTACCAGTCGTCCTGCACCCAGTACTTCCTCTTCTCAATCTTCACCAACACAAGCTCACCTAGGTCTTCCTCAACTCTGACATCATAGGAGTCTACCTGCAATTTAGTTAGTGGCTAAATGAAGAGTGTGTACTGGAGAATGGTGTCATTTACTGAAACAGGTCTGTGACATTATTTCTATCTCATCTGTAAGTTTGGGTTTAGGTGATACCACATAGCAAAGAACATGAATTTCACAGGTATTATTATTTAATTGATTTTAAGTTTTTTTTTTGTCTTAGTCACATGGAACGACATATGCAAGTTGTAAAAGCTCAAATATATGTAGCATGCATGATAAAATTATTTTATTTAAAATAAAATAAAAGATGTTTCTTACTGGTGGAAGTACAGAGATTTTTTTCTGGTGTGTGTGTTGTTTGGTGGTTTCTGTTCCTCTTTTTGTGAATTGGTTACATTTTGTCACGTTTGTGTTTCCATAAATTGTTGTTGATATTGTGATACTAATACAAAATTTTATTTTGAAAACTCATACCACTTTTAAGAAGCAGCTATAGACAACTTTCCTTTACCGTACCTTTGCTTTACTTTATCTCAAATGAATTTTACTTTTATAATGTTTATACTAAATGTGTTTTTTTCATTTAATTGTGAAACACTGAGGTGTGATGGAGAAATGTTTTTATGTAAGTTAACTTAAATTTCAATAGATTTACTTCTAGCTGATTATCATTGGACAATATTTGTACTTTGAAACAAAAAGTAGAGATTAACTTGATAGCAGCAATTTAAAACTAAATGTTTGTGACATTGTAGAAAGATCTTTGATTCATTTCCACAACACTGAACTGTGCACATTCTATTGATTATTACTTTACTTTAAAAAATGCTGCTAAGATGTTCCAGTAAAACATGTATTGATGCTCATCATTCGTCAGAAGATGATGATGACAGTCATCCTTACAGCTCTGCAGCAGTGTAACATCACTTACCGCCCCCCTCTCAAAGTCATTGTACAGGGGTTTGTCCAGCAGCGTTCTGTTGCTGCATTGCTCCGTGCCCACCAGTGTGATGTAGATGTAGTCGTCTGTCCCTGCGAACCACTGGTCCCCTGTGGAAACAGTCACTGTGTACGACGGCATGTTGGGTTCAAAGAAATGTCCCACTGAAGATAAAGAAATCTGCAGAAAATCTATTCTGCTTCTGCTTTGCAGCTAAGGAAAGTTTCCTCTTCTTGCTCAAAACTGTTTCACCAACTGCGTTGAGCACAAATACCACAACGGTGTGTAAACAGGCAGAAGAGGGGCGGTCCAGGAAATACAGCAGTCTTCCATCAGTGATACAAGTGAATTCAATACTTATACTGTGAATGAGGTCAGAGTACAATACGTCCATCCTCATCAGTACAGACATGAATAAGGGAACAGGATGAGAGATCATTTTCATGAAAATAATATCATATGAACAGAGGGGTGTTTTATAAAAGAAACAATAGAAAGAATCCCACTGATAGAGACAGAGACAGACAAAAGCATTTTCATTCAGGTTAACTGTATTTAACAGATATGGGGATGAAATTCATAGAGGAACATTTGTACGTACATTGTTATGTTACACATCACATTTACCAGTCAAATCAGTGTGACACATCAAGCAACAGCAGGTAGTGTATTCTTGTTGCAGTGAAATAAATGCAAATAATTTATAATCCCTCTGTGGTTTTAGAGTCCACCAACATTAACAGGGGTGTGAGTCACAAAGTGGGAAAAGCATCACTATGTTATTCTCTCGGATGATATTTTCTAAAATCCAAGTCACTGCCCCTCGTTCAGTTAAAAAAAAGGGATGCTTAGATCATTCAGCTCATATTCATTGACAAAGTAAAGATGCAAGGCTTCATGATGTTTTTAAGCTCACGTGTAAAGTCACTCTGAAACAAACATTTGATTATACAGATGAAGCTGTACGGTGACATATTGTAAATTTCTGTGTGAATATATTGAATATCGCTCGTTTTATAAAACAATCTGTTACAGTGAAGCAGCAGGAACGGAGTTGATCTGATACTAATGAGTAAAACTACAATAAAAACACAGAAACCAATGAACAGTGAGTTGGTGTATACAGCAGTGACACAAAAAACAGAAATGCAGCAGAAATGTATATGGTTTCCCAAAAATAATTATATTATATATTAGCTCAGACAGGTAGAGATGCTGCAGTCCATGTGTAATAGTTACCTACGTCTGCAGAGCAGTAGTTGCATCAATGTCTCCTATTTACGAGATCAAGTTGATCTGCTAGAATCATAAGTTCTAAGATCTTCAGACGTTGGTTCATCGAGAGGTTTGGAGCCGCCAGTCGGTTTTCACTTATTCGATGAAAACACATCAAGGCAAAAAAAGTTTAATGCAAGGTCAGTAGTGCCAGTTACATCAAAATATGAGTATAGATTTTTTTTAACTGCTTGATTTCTTTTCTCATTCTAAGTTTGTCGGGATCAGACGATCACCTAATTTGGTTTAAACTCAACAGATGTTATTTGACAAAACACATACATGATTTACTAACTCAAAAAAGTGGGATGGAAAAAGAATTGGAAAGAAAAGAGATATGCTTTTCAGATTTGTGTTTGTGTTCGGACTGTCCACCGAGTATTCAAATGAAACCACCTGGAAGGGTTAGAGGGGCTGGGCTGTTAACACACCACAGTTCTAAGGCATCTACACCATACAGCCATCTGAAAGCTGAAGCAGCCACTGAAGCATGTGGATAAACTCAATCGCAATCGCTCTGGTGGAGTAAGACATTAAATGCAGAAGAAGGCAAGAGGCTCAAAACATGAGGCTGCTTGTTCATCAATGTGATGTGAATACACAACACTTTCATTCAGTTAATGTTCAGTCTTCCTAAATGCAAATATAATGCTCACTATCGGACAACTTTCTTTGGTTAAGCAAAACAACAAAAAATAAAAATGAATCTCATAGAGCCTAAGGTGTATTATAAGAGACAAGAGAAATATGTGTGTGTGTTGTGTTAGCTTTGATGGTAAACAATTCCATTTATATTCAATGCTGCCACCCGGTGGCAACAAGTTACTAAATGAATAAATACACAAAGAAACAACTACAGTCATGAAGTGCAAATTTGTCCTGAGATCCCTCCAGACAAGTCGAGTCAAAACATCTCAAACAACTCATTCTGATCACAGCTGGGCACAAATGTACAAAATTCACAACCATCACAGCTACACACTAAGCATCTGAGAGCAGCAAAGTAAAACACATATATTAAAAACCCAATTCAATGTTTGGCAATTAAATGGGAAGTTGCCTCTAAAGTGAAAACTGAAATCCAGGACACTGCATCTTTAACCCTGCAGCTAGTGTTTCATATTCATCTCAATGAAGACAAAGGCAAAGATTTATGAACAGAAACTTCTCCAAACATTACAGCATCTCAAATTCTAAAATATAATAAACCCCAAATAAACAAAACATTATGACACATCTGATTATAATTATTGTTACCATTACCATTATTATTTATGATTGTAGCAACCTTTCAACAACAGCCTATAAAAATGAAGACACATTAAACAATAAAGAAAATGTGTACCTGTCGGACTGAATTGTTGACTATTTAAATAAATACATTTGACTTAGCTTTGTCAAGAAACTGATGGAAATAATGATGGTAAATAAGCCATTTAAGCAAGCGTCCATCTTGAAATCAGAAAGAGATGTTTGTGTGTTTGTGAATGAGGAGGGGGCTGCTACACAATCAGAGGGTCGCTGTTGTGTGGTTGGCAACATTGTTGAAAAGCATGTCACTGCCTCAAGCCGTCCAACCAAATTTAGGCCGCTTGTCTTGTGGTTGAGTTAATCAACTCTTAAGAGTCGGCCAGCCACAGGAAGTAAGAGGGCCTGGAACAGGACAGACACGGAGTACCTTATTGTTTGATATCCGGTTTCCTTTGTCGGCATTAAGTGACTTCCCTGGTGCCTTAAGTGAACTCAAGGAAAAAGGCAAAGCCCACAATGAGGAGTTTAAGACGTAGCGAGCGAGTCTCGGATCACTCTGTGAAGGAAGCATTGAGGCTGAACTGCTTTATGGCTCAGTGCGGGCCCGGGTGCAGAGTCTGCAGAGCTGGACGTTTTCAAAAACAGCAGCTAGTTCAGGTGGAGGGTCTGCTTCATGAACTCATAGGTGGTGAAGGCCACAGCTTGGGAGGGGACACAGCGGATGTAGTTGAGAGAAAGGCCTCGGTACAATCCCTTCTTGATCCCATACTCATTATACACATACTTCAAGGTCTTGCTCAGTGATCTGTGTGAAACAAGATTATACACGTGTTTTAGAATGACAGAGAAGTTTTTTTTATCTTTCCTCTAGTGTGTTATATATGTATAACACAAAGTTAAAAAGTCCAAAGGTAGGTGTTAAAGGTAGAAAACACTAAAGCTCCTGAAACACCCTGTCAGTAGTTCAGCCAATACTTCTGTATTATCCCCATTGGTATAATGTACAGCTCGTTTCTAGTCATGACTGATCAGACAGAGAACAGGAGAAATCTGAAGAAAGTGTTTTCTTAACATCAGAGCCTGAAAAGCTTTTCAAGTAATAACCCAAATTAAAATTATGAATATGACGATAATATGTCTCCTTTTGTTTTGTTGTTTTAATGATCTGTGACAGTTCTTATTATTCTGTCTGTGCAGGAACTAAAACCTGTTGATGGACAGAAGTCATATTAACGTGAAAAATGTGTCTTGGATGGGAGACAAATGACCTTGTATGGCGTTGATGTAGTGACTGAACACATTCTATAAGAAAATCTTGAACGTTTAGGGAAAGCAGGTAATGCAGGAACAGTGAGCGGTGCCCAGACTGGCTTAATGTGAACTTATGCAGGTATAAACAGTATGTTGCTGAAGCTTGGTTTCTCCTTAAAGGCTTTAGTGTTGTATCTAATGTAAACAGCTCTCATAGCTCTGGAATTCTTTTTTCCTTACTTCCAAACACAAAATTCATCAAACCCTGCTTCATAACCAAAAGTGAAATTGACTATTTTAAGTGGAAACTTGGATAAAAACTTTTAGAGAGGAGCATGGATCAAACATGACTTATTGAGGAACAACGGTGTGCAGACCAACTTGCCTGAGGCTATATAAACAGGTTCATTTTTAAACAACTCCACCATTTAGAGACACACAGGCTTTAAAACTCACTGATTCTTTAGCTTGATGAGCATTTTGCCTGGTACTTTTAAAATGGAGTTCACCAGCGCTGTGTTATCTGAGCTGCTTTCATCCCTATAATAACTCTCAGAATAACAGTTCTCACGATTTCACTGTCAAATCCAGAAACCAGTGATCAATCAACTATACTAAGAACTCTAATGGTCAAAAATGAGTCTAATCCATATTTTATGACATACATTGCACACACCAATACATGTAATTGACAGCACAACACAACATACACAATTAGAAAATATTTTCTACTTACACGCATTTCTCAGAGTCAGGAAGCACGGCTCCTAACTGCATTCTTCTCCGAGCCACATCCAACGGGTACCTGGTGAGAAGAAACACAATACGAAACATCAACTGCCAAATAAATCACCCCAATCGATAACACATCCAAGCTGCCAACCACAAATTAACCAGCCTAATGTCACCTCGCTATTTATAGAGTCTTGGAACTCGTCGGCAGCCTGTGTTTGTTCCAAGTAAGCGGTGCGCACACTTACGATATTGTCTGAGCGATGGCACCAGCAACGCCTCCGCAGAGCAGGTTGACGTGGGTTTTCAGGACGAGGACATCAGGGTTGTCTGAGGAGGGGCGTCCCAGCAGTTCTGGGAAATGTTTCAAGCCGAGGGTCTTCAGGGTGCCGTAGGTGAAGAACGAGAACCCTGGAGGATAGAAGGCAAAGAGTAGAACTACATGAAGCGAAATGAAGGCCAATGTTCAAAACTCAATATAAAACAAACACAACCATATGTCTATGAAATATATCTCAATGGTCACCTGCATAAGGGGCCATTCCGATAAGTGTTGGAGTAAGTCCCCTGTAGAAACCCAAAACGCCCCCCTCCTGTATAAAGGAAAAATAAATGGCATTGCAATGTAAGTTATTCTGAATATTTGATTTGTATTCATTTTTAATGAGAGGCATCAATGTCTGTAAAGATATAAATGTTGAAGAAGCCCAACACTGGCAGATCACCTTAAGGTAGATAGTGTGGAAGGCGTTGGCAATGCCAGTGTAGCGATGCTCTCCTGTCACCTGAAAGGCCAGTCTGGCTCGGATCACATCCAGAGGGTAGGTGAATATCACAGCGGTCATCCCTGAAAACACAAACACGGTAGAGGGATACAATTCATGACTGTGGTAATGCTTCATGATTTAACACTTAAACATTAAAAAAATAAAACACAAACTCACTATGAGTGATTATAATAGTTAGAGCTGAATTGCAAAGCCCCTATAATTAAAAACTGCTCAAAGTCTTACCAGTGTTAGTTTATAATGTCTCCAAAGACCTGCAGAAAGTTTGGTCTTTGGCGTTTGAGTCTTTTGCCACTGGATGGCGTGTACAAAGCTAAATGTTAAGTAATTTTATTGCAAAACTACACTTGAACCCTGTGTGACTGTTGAGAAATGAGAAGCTGCCGGTGCAGTACATGACATCCAGCCGTCATAGAGTGAAAAAGTTAATCTTATCAGTTGGAAGATGAATTACCTGCCATAGAACCTGCCATGAGGCGGTGGATGTGTCCAGAGATCCCCATCTGTTTCCTTAGCAGCTGTAAATCAACAGGGAGGAGACAAAGGTCAAGAGGTTCACAAATCAAAAATAATACAAGGTAATAAAAACCCACTGCATTTCACTTCAGATGTAGCAAAATGTTTCTATGACAAAAAACACAACCAGGAACGATATTAAAGAAAATCACATTTCTATAAACAACCTCTTGTGTCGCTGTACCTTTTTATAATTGTCAAAGGCCATGAACTGTATGGCTCCATACGGAAATATCCTGACCATCATTGCCCCGTTACCCTTGTACAAGCCAAGGAAGCCCTCTTTCTTTGGCACAGCCTGGAGAGTGGAAAACACTCCTGCAAAGAAACAACCAGATGTTCCGCTCATGTGGCACAGACGTGTGAAAACTCATTGGCTTTTCCATGTTTGCCTGCTGATGTTATACCTAGATGTTTGTAATGGGGGTTCTGGGCTTGAAGAAGAATTTTGACTCTGTCCAGAGGAGCGATGGTGGTCTTGGCACAGCATCCTGCTACTCCTGAACAAAGCAGACAAACACATGCATTATTAAATGTGTCGTGCAGAAATCACTGAGAAATATTTATATGTCAAGGTAGCAAGTGCTGCTGAGGTACTTAAAACTGCATTACATTGGAAAAACTATTGACACTGACCTATGTCAATATGAACTATATGAAGTTTGCCTTTAACATATAAGGAACACATCAGGAAATTGCTTTGTTTGGAAGCATTTCCAACAGGAAAACGTCTGGAGTGTTTAGGTGAGGTGTGGCACCTAGGTAGAGCAGCGGGACATGACGTATAAATTCTACTGTGGAAATTAGGTGTTTTTGTTTCGAGCATATCAACACTGTCACCAGCCACAATCACCAAAGCTCTCGAATCTCGATGACTTTCTTCCACATGTATAGCACCTCTTTTTCATCTTGAGATATTTGTATTTTATATTATTAATATATTTTTGTCTTCACAGTTTTGAGTCTGTCCGAGTTAGGCAGGCGTGTCGTCGTCAATATGAACACTTGCAGCTAATTTCAGGAGAGTAGCCACAGTTCAGTGCTTGTCTGAAAGCAGCTAAAGACATGAAGCATCTGACCTCCAGGCATTAATTAGTAGAAAGTAATATTCTGGCTGATAAATCAACCTGGCTTACATTTGAAGTGAGGTGCTACAGGTAAAACAATCTGTATTTCTACCTTTCTTTTAACAAAGCTTCAATGAAGGCAGACATCAGATTCTAGGTCGCACAGGAAAGCAGCAGACAGAGAAGCAAAGGAGAACAAGTCTTGACAATAGAATGATTGAGTCCTGCAGACGGACTCATGAACCTGTGTCCCGGTGTCAAATTCCATGTTATGTAAATAATTGCAGGCATGAAAGAGATAGTAGAAACTGATGAGTCAGATCATACCTCCAGCTACAAAGGAGCGAAGCCAGTAGTAGTCCCTCTTGGCGGGAGTGCTGCTTATGGCAGCGGGTGTGGAGACCGCGGCCTCTGATGTCATCCTTTCTGCTCAGGAATCTGCCACATCTATGACTGCAGTGTGGTGAAAAGACAGTTAATTAACCTTTACAATGAATATGTGGCCTATGTATTAATACACAAAATATGATATGATGAATGATGTTGCTGGCACACAGCTACTGCAGCTCAATGTGCAAGTCATGTCTCGTTAAAGCTTGACTTGCAATGGGACTTAAATGTTATTGGAGGAAGTATCCAGATCCTTGAGTAAAAGTACTAATAGCACACAGTCATTATAAGTCACTGTGAGTAAAAGTCCTGCATAAGTAAAAGTAATGACATAACATGTACCTAATCACACATAGATTCATTATTACTAATGTATTCATGTGTAAGCAGCGTTCTTCCTGTTCCAACTCATTTTGACACTATTTTATTTGGTGCTGCAACTAATTTCAGCTTTCATTGTGGATTAATCTTATAAATCTGCAAAGCACTTTGGTCAACCAAATAGTTTTAAATGTGCTAAAGAAATAAAGTTGACATTGACGTGAAATGACTATTGTCTTAATAATTGGTCCTATGTTTGATTTGTAAAACCAGAAAATATGAAGATTGCTCATGACTCAGAGTGACACCTTCAAATGTCTAATATCTGACCCGAGTCAAGTGCCTCAGATCTGCGCTCCACGATCAATAAGCAGATTCAGCTAAGAGACAGCACGAACCCCAGACTGTGTGTAAACAGCAGATACTCACAGTGTAATGTGAACTGTGTGCGTATGAAGAGGAGATGAAATGTGTTTCTCCTTCGCTCCTCAGCTGCAGCTCCTCTCGCTTCCTTCCTGCTTGTCTGTTCAAACGTGGCCTCATGGACTCCGCCTGATGTCGCTCCGAGAAACTCTGTCCCTGTTTCCTTTACATGGACAAACCGACACAGAGAGGAGTTTGGACTCAGATTGAAACTAACGCCACTGAGACATTCACGTTCTTACATCAGTGTCCTTCGCCTGCTGTCTACTGACGGATGCTGGCCGCAAACAGTCGCATGTGACTGACGTAGTATTGCGTCATCAATGTGGGTGTGCGCGCATGTCTTACAGTTGGGGCCAATTTTGCTTCAATATCGTCAATGTGAGGACATTTTGTCTGT